TGTGCCGTATTTTTTACTTATTTTTTCTTGCACTGGAACTTTTCGAGGCTGTTAAAGTGATTGTTCACTTATGTTCAGATTTGGTATATATTTATATTTTAAGTTGGGACGTAGGAAAAAAAACGGTGGTTTATAAGGAGAATCATCACAAGTTTGAGGGCTGTTCTTCTTCGTTTTAATTTACTTTAATTTATTTAATACATCGTTCCTAGGCCTGATTTCTTGCTTTTGGAAAAAAGCGAGTGATTTTTTTCAATAAATATTTAAATATTTTTATTTTCTATAAATGTTTCTTTGGCACAACTGCACGTCCTGGTAGCATTACTAACAGGGGTACCCACACTGGTAGCTCAAGCAGTCTTAGTGCTATTGGTGTAAATGTTTTTCCAGGCATTGATTTTTAAAGTTTTTTAAAGTCCTTTCAATTTCTCTAACGTTTCAGGCAATTGTAAAATTGTTGGGTCGTCGTTTCCATGTTTTCTATGGGATTATCATCATATCTGTATATCAGTACTTATTGGTTGAGAAAAATTTACAGGTTGTAACTATTGAACTTTTTTTACTTATTTTTGTCTTGTAATTGATGTCAAGACAAAAATATTTCCGAATTTTAATGCTGGATTTGGACCAAAACAGTCTTGTTCTTACTCTTGTTAACTTTGGATTTTTCTTCTAGGATGGCATTTCTGTCAGGTTTTTACTTTGTTTAACGATGTTCAGCACGAATTAGTTAAATTTCAAAACTGCTAAAGCCTTGCCAAGTGTTTCTATCGAGATGATTTTTCGAATACAGTACATTGCTGATATAACTCACTTTCTTCAGAATTGGTTGCTGTCAGAAACGGTAAAGAGGGACAGTTTTGTGTCGATGAATCGTGAAGGCATTTTCTCCATGTTCGGATATTTATCGATATATTATTTTGCTTCAGCTATTGCCAGTTTCTTGTACTCCACGGGGTTAGTTAAAAGTGCACTTTTTTTTATACATTTTTGCAGAAATCGGTTTTTTTTTTTTTGGTTTTGCAACATAATTTTTACATAAAAATGTCAGAATCACTAGCAGACTGATTACCATTAGGCGACATAGCATTGTCGAAAGAACAAGGAAATTGTTTGCTGCACAATCATAGAATCAGTCTATGAATTTTCTCTGAACTGTTTTTGTCTCTGAATTATGACTGCTAGCATTTGTTCAAGGTTATGTGCTTGTTTTTGCCCTGATAATTTAATCCGAGAAAGACGAAAGCTAGGAAGTCAACGTTTTCCGATGGGAGGAAATAATCCCTTATCATCTACGGGACATGGAAGAGTGACATCGAACTGGCGTTGTGACTTTGAAATAGCAGACGTTGTGAGCTTATAAACACAGTGTTTTAGTTCCAAAACATTTTAAATTCTACTTTTTCTTAAACTTTAGCCTCAGGTCCAAGTTAAGGATAATGTTATAACTTCCGAATAAAGCAATTTGTCTGAAATTCTGTCGATTTGATTGCTGGTGGTGATGTGTTTTTTTAGACTAAGACAAGAAGCTGGACTGTGTATCAGTACTGATACTCTAATTTAGCACAAAATATTCCTACTTTCAGGATAAGGCTGAAATCATGGTTCTACCGATGTTTCCAACTGCTAATGATCGCAGCGATGCTTTTTGTTGCTCAGAAAACAGCGGAAATATATGTTGGCCCACCGTCACGACGAATTGCAAATCTTCCATATGTTCTTGAAATGGTTAGTGTTTTCATTACTGGCACTTAATCTCAAGAATTTTGTAGCAGGCACCCTCTTTTTGAATTTATCTTCTCATCAGAACTTGCCCGCCTCTTTAATAAAAGGATAAAAAATTTCTTTGGTGGAATTTTTGGCAAATCGCCAGCTCTTTGGCAGTCTTTTTTTATGGATAAGAGCGAAAGTCGTTTACAAGCATGGCGCAGTGCTAATTACTGTGGCTGTTATGTACTGAAGGCCACAGCTTCGAATCCCCCGGTGGGGCTGCTAGCCTTTCTGCGATTCAGCTCTTGTTTCGATGGCAGATTTCACAGACAAATGCTGAGGAATTGCTATAAGTTTACTTCCAAACAGTGATTAGGATAGGGCTCCATCGACAGCCTTGCCAGTGGGTGATTGTTGTGGCGTCCGGAATAAATTTGTATGCTTCTACTGTCATAAAGAGTTACCTTTAGGTAGTTGGTGCTTTTGCGAGTCTACACTTTGATGGTTTAGCGTTTTTTCAATTTTTTAATTTTTCAAAAAACAGAGTATTTTTAGTCACCGAATAGAATTTTGGAAGAAATACACTGCCAGAATTTGTCATTTTTTTTTTTCAAATGCTTTGGAATTTGCAGCTGGTTTTTCACACCATTTTAATGGCTGGAGTTTTGTTCGTTCAACTAGTTTCAGTTTTTGGATGGGCAGCACATATGCCACAGTTCTCTGTGGGTCAGTTTTTTTTTTTTTAAATAACGGTATTTATTATAATTTTTTGATCGAATTTGTTATATTTGGTGTTGTAACAGTAAATTTTGCAGAGGTTTTAAATTCTGTGTTTGAAATTGCGGAAAAATTAGGCCGGGACTAACTCTAGACGCTGTAGAGTATGACTGCGGCAGTGATAATCTA